TCAGGGAGGGCAGGAGTGACGTAGGAGAGCTGAAAGAGCGAAAAAGGGAGTCCACGGTCTTAAAGGGCTTTGGTGAAACAACCCCCCCCCCCCCCCCGATAAGCTCTCAGTGGCCTGTAGAGGGAGCGCTCCCGTTTTATCCCGCTCATCCCTCTGGCGGGGCATCCATCTGGACTTGAGCAGTTTTATTGTTTTGACACTCACAGCAAGACACCGTCTGGAGACCTGGGGCCCCCATCCTTCTCTCTCTTTCTTTCTAACACCCCCTCTCCAAATTCCTCGCGCTGTTCTCCGGCTTGATGTCGAGATCCTGCAGTCTTCCACGAGAGCCCATCTAAACGATACGACCACAAGCCTTCTTCCCCAGCACTGACCCGTCTCTCTCCTCTCCTGGGACGCCCCGGCTCTGAAAGGCTGTATTGTCTACGGGCTGATGTTTCGGCCCACTGACCAACTTCCCACAGCTCCTGCAGGCATGAGCTCATAGGCCAAACACACAATGACAATGCAGCTGGGGGACGAGGAGCCTTTCGCCCCGACAGGAAGGACATTTCCGGGTTTTGGGATTCGCCGTGGCACGTCATGTGGTTAAAAAAAAACTGCTTACATGGAAATGCTTACTTAGAATTGCATTTTGAATTCTGCTCTTGTGAACATGATGTTTATTTAGGACATATGATGATCAGTCTTCTATGAAAGCTTGTTTCCACCACTGAATAATTTTTTTAAAAAAGGTAATAGCTATTTATCTCACAATTGTGAGATGTAGATGAACTCTCAATTCTGAAAATGGACCGTGGAGCAAAGAGGACACTGACAACAGGACAGAGCACGTTCCTATTGATATAAAAAGTCTCAGCTTTCAAGTTGTCATTTAAGAAATTCAAACAATAAATACTGTTTTGTGACTCTTGGCGTATGGTGACAGATCTCATGAACTGATCATCTCTTCCTAATAGTTCATTTATAGCACCAAGTAAATATAAATGAACATGTTTCAACCGCAGAAAGACGTCAGTACCGTTTTCTTAAAAGTTATTTATATATATTTTTTTTAGCAATTGAGGTTATATCTCGCAATTCTGACTTTTTTCCTTGCAATTATGAGTTTAATTCTCGCTATTCTGACTTTCTGACAATTGAGTCACACAATTCTCAATTTTATTGCTATTTGTGAGTTTATATCTCTCAATTCTGACTTTTTTTCCTCGAAATTGCAAATTTATATCTCGCAATTGTTTTTTTAACCACACAATTACGAGTTTATACTTCGCAATTCTGCCTTTCTTGCAATTGCAAGTTTATATCTTGTAATTCTGACTTTCTCACAGGTTGTGAAATTATATCTTGTTTATAACCGTTTGTAACGGTTTATATCACAATTCAGAAAAAAAAGGTCTGAATTGCGAGATGTAAACTTACAATTGTGAGATAAAAAGATATGTATATTTTTTAATTCTGTAGTGGAAACAATCTTCCATAGAATTTAGTGCTTGGAAATGCTGCAAAATAAACACTGACTAAGAGCCAAAGGGAAGTAAATATTGGTTTTTGGAGAGCATCAAACTCACCAGTTAGCTGGGAATTTTATTAGGACCTGCAATGACTTTCACCATCTTAAGTTTGTATTTTGATGTCATACACAACAGTGGTTTGTAAACATTTTAAAGCAGGGATTAAAATATGAGCACAATTAAAATCACAAGGCCGCTTTGTTTCATTTCCATTTAATCTTGATGCTTCATATACAACCAAAACATCTTCAAAACATTCATCTGCACGGGCAAAATAAATCACAAGGCCGATAATATTTGGGTCACCATAAAGGTTAATCTGAAGTTTCACTATGCATAGGTCTGACCCGAGATCAGCCCTCAGGGCAGCATTATTCTATGGCTCTAGAGAGCTATGAGAGTCAAATGAGTCGATTGAGGATCATCGAATTAGATGTGCGGGGAAAATGAAAGCAAATGAGCCATGCGAGACTACTGATCTACAATCAGCCTTTCCTGACCACATTGTTGGCTAAAACGGCTAAACTGACCCACAATCAGCATGTTTGCCACCAACTCTGTCGCCCACAGTTTAACTAACGCACACGTTTGTTGCATATTTCAGTTGTTCCATTGATGGGAAAGACACAGAAAGGCACAACAGCACTAACACAATAGTGAAGCGCCTGCTTTTTAAACGAACAGTCTGTTGCTTGTGCAAAAGCAATCCGATGCATATTCAGTCCACGAGAGGTCAAAGTGAAGAACAGACTGGATTTATCAAACTCGGAGCATTACATGTTAAAAATTCAACACATTCTTGTCTGCATGTGAAGTAAAAGCATTATTTTTTGCTGTAAAGAGAAAGAATTCACTGTAGTCTTTGGTAGTTTTCGGTGCATATTTGTGTTAGAAGCATAGCGGGACTCTTCAATTTAAAGCGCTTCATACAGAAATGCAAAGGGAAAGCGAGGGCTCATTATTACACGAGACTTTTCGAAACATGTTTCGCTGTGTCAGAGATCCCAGAACTGAAAGTGAGAAAAGCACAGTGATAATTTGGTGCACATCCTGTTTGTTTACACATCTTGGTTTTTAAAAGAACATCTTGTCATCATATATTCACCCTCATGCCATTGCAAACTCATCAGACTGTGTGGAACACAAAACAAGCTCACACTTTTTTTGGGAAGTTTTTACAAACCGAGAGGCGAGTCTATATGTTTTCAAGTGCTAATAAACAGCATGCATGACATATCACTCTCAAACACCATTCGTTCTCTGCTGTGTAGTCAAATTTGCAGCGATCGGCTATGTAGGATACACAATAACCAATGATGTCATCAATGACATCAATCTCGATGCTCCAATTTTTGGATACCAACGACATCCGAAAGCTATTGTATGAATTTAGAAGACTGGCAACTATATAACGGTATTGGCGATAACAGTAATATAGTCAACCGCACAGTTTTTCCATTGTTTCTCCAAGTAAAGACGCACTAGAACAGATGGAGGCGTTTGATCGCTGTATTTTGCAGTATCTCGGGCACGACGCACCATCCTAAAAATGCAGAACTCGAGTTAAAAGTAGTTCAACCTTTAAAAGATGCATCTCTAGAGCTTTACTTGTTGTTTTTTTATCCACTGCCCTGCATCTTGTGTTTTTAAGCGCAAAAACACGTTTGATCTGAACGGCCACTCTCTCTGCTTCCAAACACTCGTATTTTGAGTTCGATTCATGATAAATTATAGCATTTCCCACCCCAAATTTGATTTTAGATACCACAATATAGAAGATTTTGTGTCAACCATACTGGTAACACTAACCAATTTGCCAGTATATGCTCTCACTGAATGGGAACGAGTGAAAACATTTCTCATTTCATGTCCCAGAGAACAACATCTGGGATTCGGAATGACACGAGGGGCAAGTAAACGATTTTCTGAGGTAAACTAACCTTTGAAGTCAAATGTTCCCATTTGACGTAAACATTTGCATTTCATAACTGTGAAATGGTTGCATGTGAAGAACTGAGAATTGCAATGAATGATGTAAACAGATGTTACAAATATGGAGTGAAATGTAGCATGGATCCGTCCCCCACAGACTTCGAGTGCAGTGTTTGCTTCTTAAAATAGTTTATTTGTGAATTTACACTGATTAGCAATACATCTAAAAGCAAGTCCGTTAGATAACCATTTATATACGATTTCACAGGGAGGCTTGGCTCAAACTCGCGTGCCAAAGCAAACAGGCCCTCTGAACCAGAGACTACAACAGAGAGGCATTAGTAAAACAAGGTGCAAAAAGGGGGGGGGGGAAAAGCAACAAAAATAAAAACAAAACGAGAATGTGATGCACGTTCCAGTTAACGCTTGTAGGGCATGAACTACACTTCCTGAAGGCAAAAACCGCAGTGCACAATGGAAACTGAAGCAAAAAGAGCCAAAAACAAAATTTAAAAGCAATAAAATGAGTTAATCTCCCGAGTTGTCGCTCTAAACTCACACCCGGTGCAGCTTTAAATGTGTTTTAATCCACGTCTGGCCCGCATTCAAAACCACATGCTATTTACACAGCTTAGAAGTGTCTGTCTCTCTCTCTCCGTGCCCAAGCCAGTACTTCACATTGCCCACTGGGATATACATCTTTCTCTTTCTCAGTGGTTTCGCCTTCCCCCTACGGGACGTATGACGACCACATTCGGGCCTTGCGGGGTTCAAACTGAGGTCAAACTGCTAATCTTAAGCATAAGAGATTAGCTTTTGGCGAAACGCAGTACATTCTGTCCACATTGTGGTGTCTCATGGGACAGGGCGCTTCAAAACAAGCCAAACAAGCAACCTCTGAACTCACGGCTTACATCTGGCGGAGGGAAGATGAGCAAATCGATCCAGTTTCAGACAGAAAAAACACTGTACAATGCCGTTTCTCAGGAAATCATATTAACACTGATGCTCCAATGGAGACTTTTGAGCCTGTTGGATGGTGATGACTGTCGTAAGGTGGCATAATGAATGATGTCTTCATCCAGAGCACTATAAAGGCCCAGAATGAGGGAGTTAAATGTCTAACGTGATGGCAATCAATCACACTAAATAGATTTGAACCCGCCGTAGACCCCGTGAGAGCCATTAGGCCAGTACTTTTGCTTTGGGACAGAGACATTTGTTCAAAAATACAGTTTACAAATATATATTGTTTCTTATATGCTAACAAGTTTCCCTTCTCCACCCCTTTTCAAGACATTTCTCATGTTTTCGTATCGCGCCTCTTTCGCCTGCCAAGTTCATCCAGACACATTTTGTTATGTACACCACATTAAAAAGTGCAGCACAAAAATATCATATATATTTATATATCATTAACATCACTCCAGTTTTCATATATTGTCGTTACACGTGTTTAGTAATCTGAGCTATTACACGACTGAGAAGAAGTCAGGCACCGCTACATTATCAGCCGTATAAATTCAGGCTAGCAAAACATGCTTCAAGATTTAGTTTTTACGTTGTTAAAGTATAGAAACGAGTACAAAACTGAATGGATAAAACCTAAATTGTTTCAATAATAATAATAATAATTAAAAAAAAGCTAAAATATTTCATTAGAGATAAAGAGTGGATGTTCACGAAACCAAAATTACAGTTCACTAAAACGTGATTGCTCTGCTTTTTATGCTATTAAACCTTTTCGTTTGGCAAAGAACAGTACGGAGAGGAGGCTGGAGCGGCTCTACACAGGATCATCACGCGCGCCGCTCAATTTCACACCGACAATCACAGCTAAGTGGAAGCAAATAAAACAAACCCTGTTAAAATAACCCCAGAACGGTTTCCAGTGTGATTCCTCAGCGTCTCCTGTGTAGTGCAACCAATTACGCCCACCGTCCACCCACAGCTGGAGAAACAACGCAAGCAGAACTGACACCATGAGGGATGACGTGGCGGATAGAAAAGGGGCTCATAAAAGGTCTGTGTGAGAATCTAATAAACATACAATATGAAAAAAACAATGCAGTATGGGCTCATCAACGAGATAAAATCATTAGGAAATTGTGTACAGAAACATTTTCAGTCCATCAGGCGAGAGAAGCCAGTTTCCCAGGAGTTTCCCTCGCTTCTCTTCCTGTATAAAACTCATCTTATGATCACGTGAACACGGCACATCTCTGAAAAACGGATGTTACTCCATCTATTCACCGACTCCCAATAGAACGTGCCATGTTTTTGTCATACATAACCTTAACAAAAACAAACTCAGAACATAAAACGACAAACAGAAAGACAGACGAAGTGGGCATGGAGCCCCTCTCTCTCTCTCTAGGCTTCCACTTTCTCTTTCTTTTTGCTCTTCTTCAGGAAGGACGGGGTTCTGAACTTCTTCTTCTTCTTGTTGGGGGATTTGGAGGGCGAGCTCTCGGGCGTCAGTGCCTCCTCGATCTTCTCTCCCGAGCGCACCTCGATCTCCACGCTCTCCACGCTGGTGGTCAGCTGACTCACACGCTTGATGAGCTCGTCCTCATCGCCGTGCCCGTCTTTGCCGTTCAGCATCACGCCGGTGTGGTTCTCTGGAGCAACACAAATAATTCATAATCAACACTTGCCAACCACAACAACAGCTGTATTAATACGTGTTATTGTACTTGCTAGAAGAATTGTTTGTGGTGTTTTTTTTTTTTTTACTGTTTTATTAATTACACCGAACTAATTCGAAAAATAACTAATAATAATAATAACTAATTAAATTCTTCAAGTTGCTGTATATTGATACTTGGCAACCATAAACAGCCCAATGTTGTGCTAAGGAGTAATTTATTTGCCCTAAGATATGTTTGTTTTGTTTATTGTATTAATAAATTGAATTATTAGTACAATTATTAATTCATAATAAATTAAATTATTTCAGTTACGATGGGTGCTAATGAATTTAATTTTATTTGTTGGAAGATTTGGTTATTAATTATTGCACTAATAAATTCTAAGCTAAGAAAAAACTGAAATATTAAATTATAAAATATTCAATTATTAAATTAAGCTCAAATGTTGCTTAGCAACAAACAGTGCTAATTAATTATTTTATTTGCCAGAAGAATTTAGTTTTTATCCTTTTAATTTATTATTAAAATGTATGAACTAATAAAAAAAAGTAAGTTTGATATTAAGTTGCAATATTTCCTGAAGGGGAAAAAAAAAAAAACAGGCAACAATTGCACTAATAAATTTTTTTTTTATTTGCGTGAAGCATTGTTAATGGAATATTTATTGCATTATTAATAAATTCTAATATTAATAAACTAATTATCAAAAAAAAATATTGATAAGATTATTTAAAATTGTTTAATAAATAACAATGTTGCTTGGAAACCATAAACCTATAGTTTAAAATAAATGTTTGCGATTATCATAATTTTTTCCATCAACTTACTCACTAACTGCTTTATTTTGCTTTAAATGGAGTTAAACGGAATGGCGTTTCCGTTTAACTTTAGGTGATTACTGCATAATTTATAAAAAGTCTTATGAATATTTAATAAAAAGCTTTTTGACTATCAGATTCCCGTCTAAATTAGTAATAACCAAGGTTACAGAAGTTAAAATGTTGCATCATCATTGCAAGAAAATGTCCTGGCTGGAGTGTGACCTACACTTCAGATAAACATGGTGAAAGCGTCCTCGATTGTTTATGGTTCATCAGCGGTCGTGTAATGCGTCTGGTTGGGTAACCAGTGAGTTTGATGCAACTGGTTCAGAGAGACTAGGGCAAACGCATCCTGTTTCTCCACCTCACGCTACACTATCCCCGCTGTGTGTGAACGCATAGCAGGATTTCTTTCATTTATATAAGGCTTCATCTTCAGTTTACATAAGGGTCTCTACCTCTTGCAGACGACTTGCATTTACTCTTCTATAATAGAAAACAGGTACTGCTTGTTTTATACAAAGGCAACATCACCGAAGAGAAGGTAACGTCCTGCAACATCCTCCCAGAACCTTTGGCAACACCCATTTTAACATGTTGCAAAAAGATTTAAAACAAACAGGACGGTTCATTTCGAAACTACGATTCAGTGTTATTTTAGTATTATTTCTATACTATTATAGTATTTATTAATATTTGAATTCCTCAGTTTCTGTAATTCTATGTGCTTTTGTATTTTTTAATTCGCTTTTTAATTATTTCTATTTAGCTTTAATACATTTTTATAGGCCTACTTCATTTTATACTTAAAGCTTTTGGAAGTAAAATTTCCAAAAGCAAGTTTTTCATGTAATATTTATATTTTATTTCTGCTTCAACTATTAGAAATGACTGAAAACTAAAAAAATTATAGTTTTACTTAACAACACTGATGTGCACTGCAGTACGATTCACACAAACGGCACGAAAGCAAACCAGACTAACCTATGAAAATGAACCACTATTAAATTGGTCATAATCTGCATGTTACAATATAATGAATCTCACCGCCTGTGTTTTGTTGTTACCAGCCACCCTGGTGAACAATTGCTGCTAATACTGAGGTGATATTCTCACGAATACTGAGAGCTTTTTCAGGGCGCTATACCTTCTTTGGCTGGAGTGTGGTGAGGAGACTGAGTTTGGGACACTGACTGAGAGAGCGTGGAAGCGTCGTCTGACGTGAGCTGCTCTTCATCTGCAGAGTGAGTTGGTTAGTGAACAAACACACAGTCAGGCAGGGAGACACACAGTTAGACAAGTAGACAGGTTAGCATGCAAGGACATTGCCACAGCTGTAAGACACTCATCTTGGCTGGATGTTTTCTTCATGTTAGTTCTGTGCAAGTCACACGGTATTGATTTTTAGCTATAAGGTAGGGATGGGCATTATTAATCGACGATCGATAATTGATCATTAAGAATTTCATCGATCATGTTAATTTGTTATCGATAAAACTAAAAAAAAAAAAAAAAAAAAAAAATCCTTTCCTCTAAATCCTCGCTTGCCTGGCTTATGCTACTCCGAGCTATGTCTGAACTTTGTATTTTGAGCACTTCTTGCGTTGCTTTTGCCTCTTCACGATGACTCGCTTGGTTTAGTCCTCAGTTGTAAGTCGCTTTGGATAAAAGCGTCTGCTAAATGACTAAATGTAAATGTAATATGGTTGCGTTGCGTAATGTGAGCCTTGAAGCAATGAACCGCTGGATTGCACCACTGCAGACGGGTGGAAAGTGAACGGAATAAGTTGTTTCCCGGGCTGGTCAAGTTAGCGCAGAGGTACCTGTGCATCCCGGCAACGTTAGTCCCCTCAGAGCGGGGGTTTTCGGCGGCTGGACTGAAGAGTTTGTTTACACTCGACCTCGACGCGTCCGCACAAGCACGAGCAAAGGTGCGCGAGGCAAAAATGACGTCATTGCGGTATTCGGCGTTTTACAGGCGAGCGCGTGGAGTATAAACGCCTCGTCCGTTTGCGGAGACTCACGCTGCAGAGCCAGGCAAAAGTATAAACGAGGCTTGACGGTCACCATGTTGCGGTCGCGTCTGACCCCAGGCCCAGCCCATGTCATCAACATGCTTATCTTTCTCAACAAAAATCAGTAGACTGGTGCAGAAGTTTTATGTGAGTTAATAGATATTTTTTTTGAGGCTTTGTTAAGTAGCCTAATTTGTTGCTAGGTAGGCTAATCTCTCTCACACTCTTTCTCGACTTCGTACCTTGGATAGTTTTGAGTTACATTGAGTATTATTATGTTTTTGGTTAAGTTATTGTTTAACATGATTTTTTTTATTATTATTTTGGAACAAACGATCGGGTCTCTGTTTGAGGACGCCAACTCGCAGCTGCAGGTTTTGTTGCTTTTTAGAGCACCGCAGCGCATATTTCAAGTTTAGCCGAATGTCCAGTTTAACTGCCGCAAGTTGATTATCTTGTAATAAAGATCTCATCGAGGAAAAACACGCTGTATTTTTGTATTTTCATTGCATTTTTAATTTATAAAAAGTTAAATAAATAATTAATTTTAATATATAAAAAATATTAATGATTAATCGATAGTCGATCGTTAATTCTCCCGACGATCGACTAAGAAAATTTAATCGAATGCCCATCCCTACTATAAGGGGCAGGGAGTTACAACATTAGCATTGACTGGGTCATATAAGTGACATGGGGAACAGGAAGTGAGGTGCTCTTAAAAGAAAAGAGGTGTCATGCATCTCAGCGGTCTTTATTCATTTGCACCAGTTTGTTTTGGGTTGGAAAGATTTTTTTGTGTGTGTTTTTGAAAGAAGTCTCTTATGCTCATCAAGCCTGCATTTATTTGATCAAAAGTATAGTAAAAACAGTAATATTGTGAAATAATATTACAGTTAAAAATAACTGAATAACTGAGAAATGTGAATATATTGTAAAATATAATTTATTTCTGTGATCAAAGCTGTATTTTCAGCATCTTTACTCCAGTCTTCAGTGTCACATGATCCTTCAGAAATCAGTCTAATATGATGATTTGCTGCTCAAGAAACATTTCTCATTATCAATGTTGAAAACAGTTTCTTTTCAAGATTCTTTGATGAATAGAAAGTTCAAAACAACAGCATTTATTTGGAATAAAAATATTTTGTAACATTATAAATGTCTTTACGGTCAATCCACTGTTTTGAATCAATTGAATCAACTTTTTTGGCCTCACTTTTGGTCAATTTAATGCATCTTTGCTGAATAAAAAGTGTTCATTTGAAGTGTAAGGTGGAGCGTGTTTTACCGTCTAATCCTACTCTCTTCTGGTAGTCGTTCATCTCTTTCTCGATCTGGTCGCTGAAGGGGTTTGGAGGAAGAGGGACCATTTGTTCCTCGCAATCGCCCATGTACGGCTGCGTGGGCAGGGCAGAGAACACAAATAAAAGACACTAGAATTGCACCTCGGTCACGAAATGAGTCATAACAACGACAAAAACGACTCAAACACACAGACCATATGTTAATCACTGAGCATTCAAAAGCAAGTGTCACAAATCCTCTAATATTAAAAACAAAAAAATGAAGTAGGAACACTGCAAATCCAAAACTACAAATATAACAGTGACCTCATGCAGACATTTCAAAACTCAAAATCGTGATTGTTTTCAACATAACGACAAACAAAACACCCTGGGATTTTACCTTAACTGGCGACTGTCCCTTAAAGAGAAAAAACAGAGCTTCATAAGACCCCGCTTTAAAATATCCTTAGCCCCACATGCTGATGCTAACTCCACCAACACAACTGACAGCGCTCACACTGTTCATCTGTCTCTGAGAGGATCTGGCGCCACCTAGTGACGCAGATGTCTGTGCTACCCTTGCTTGACCGTTCAGCATTCACACATGGTTTATGATAATGCCGTTCTGACACTCACCGGCGGTCTATCCACCACAATCCCTGCCAGCCGCTGTGATTGCGGCCCTGCTGTCATCATATCAAACCGGTTCTGTTCGCGAATCTGAAAAGATCACAGGAAAGCGGTTTAAGACACAGTGACATCGAAGAAATGGTGAATAAGAGTCTGATGCATTTCCAGTTTTTAGCTTTGTAATTCTAGCATATCTAGCAAAATGCATATTTTTTAGGGCTGGGTAAAAAAAATATTGATTTCTATATTTTAATCGATTCTCATTTTTACGAACCGATATCGATTCTTAAATCCCAAGAATCGATTAGGCTAGTCATCCTGTTTTCAGCTGATGAATGAATGGAACATTGTAGCGCGCATCCCATCCAATAAATCGCAATAATCTTTGTGCTTTGTTACTATTGATATGAAACAAAGTCTCAGATTTCAAATTACCTCCATTTTCGTACGAAATTCAAAAACATAAACAGCGTTTTGGCGCTGTGGCGTGAGATCGCTCTGGCTCAGCTCAGCTCAGGAGAAGCAACAGCACATGATCTCCTCTTCTGCCTTAATAATACCAGTTACAGCGCCAAATAAACATTAATGAGCATCTGAAAGTGTGTTAAAAGATAGAGTACAACTTATCGAAATCCGTATCATGTCACATGGAATCGCTCAAGCAGTGTTTCAACCGTGGAAAGACGTCAGTAAAACAACTTGTAAACAATGTCATGTAACGTCAGATTTACCTCAGAAAAACCATATGTGACCATAAACTCGTTAGTCAGCTAGAAAAATTAACTCTAAAGAGGAGCATTTTGCTAAATATATGCACCATATTACATATTCATTATCATTTTTAATGTTCAATATTTAATGCATGTTTGAATAAATCTGGCAAGTTTTTATGACAGCCACCATTTAAATGTTTATATTTCATAACTTTATTATTATAAAAATAAATAAAAGTGTAATTTAAGTGTTTGTATACAAATCAGTTCATTTTTACCTTCAATATTATAGTAGGCTAATGAAGCCTAGCAGGCTACAACTGACTCCCATAGTTCACAGCATTAGTTAAGAGATTTGTTTTCCTTGAGAAAATGTGCCATGTATTGTACCTGATATCCAAAACAATCAATACTGAATCGAAATCGAAACGCAAGCTTGTGAATTGAAATAGAAATTTGTGTCAATACCCAGCCCTAATATTTTTATTTTTTAAACTGTTAATGTACAGTTATAACATTTAACTTGTGTTATATTACCTAGACATAAAGCTAGTTAGCGCTGCTGTGCGTTTCTAATACAATCTGAGGGACATCTTTCTCTCTTCTGACAAACAATCAATCTCAATTTTTTTCTTCAAGTCATAGAAACATTCATGGAATGCAAAAAATTACATTTGTTGTAGTTTTCGACCCCTACTATGGAAGTTTGCCAACCTGTGATGACTTCTGCATCTAGGCTCAATGATCAACCGTCTGATCGCACACACAACTCACCTTATTTCTCTTTTGCAGAACTTCACTGGGGTTTGTGTTCATAGGAACAAACTGGTTGGGATCTTCAATGCGGATCGGAGTCCCGCTGGTGTTACCGCCATCATCTGACTTCATCCACTGCAGAGATAGAGTAAAAGAAAGAAAAAAAATGCAGACTGAGATTTGTTTAGAAAGATAAAGCCCTCTGCGGAGTCGACATAAAGTCTAGGGGCAAAAGAGTTGCAACCAAAATTAAAAAAGTAAATTTTTTTGCCTTGAAATCATTTGCACAAAAGTATAGTTCTGAGCTGGATCTAGACTTTAGCTACGGCTGACATTTTGCTCTTGGTGAAAATGCACCCAAAGTTGTAATACTAAAGCCTCGACCACTAGAGGTCAGTAGGGAACTGTTCATCTGGAATGAACCTTGAAGACGGTGGCGTCATCCAGGCGGCTGACAGAAGTTATGAGGCTTCAAAAGTTTATCTGTGATGACAACAGAAATATGAGCTTCATCTGCAGCTAGACCGTCAGGTATGCCCAGGAAATAACCACATTCTTGCTCTTCCACAAAATCCACCTGAGGACTTTCTGCTTTTTTTCATTTAGCATGCAAGGCTTTCAAAAACAAGATCTCAGAGCACCATAACAGAGTCGACCTGAGCCTCACCATGGTCTTGGTGCGTCCGTTCTCCTCGCTGGCCCCGTCCGACACGTTCACCTTCATGTAGCAGTTGGGTGAATTGAGCCAGCGTGTTTTCTCTCTCTGCTGTCGCTGCTGCAGCAACTTCAGAGGGAACCGTGGAGTGTCGTCGTCATCGAACATGAACGCCGTCACTGTCGCGGGAATCTCCACTTCGCTCTTGTGTCGCGGCTTCTCCCGCACGATGGGGTGCCGGTACGTGTAGCCCGTCCTGTAACCCTGAAAGTAAATATATTACATTAAATAAATACAACTAGATATGATACAAGGATGAGACCTATTCTTAAATCATTTAATTGCCAACGAATCAAAGGCCTTTTATGAATGAGCTTCAAGCCTTTGAATAGGTTTATATAATGAGCCACTGCTTGAAACTGACTTTGCAGAAGGTGAACGAAGAGTCGACTACAAAAGACACAGTCTTAAAGGTACATCTGCATTTCAAGCGCATTCTGTAACCATATCCTGAAACTCTCCAGCATAAGTGGGAAAAACATATCGCTTCACTGGAAGCGGGTAATGGTGGCTCACTGAGCGACGCACCATATCATTATCATCTTCCACATCAATCCATTCTTCTGCCTCAGCTGAGAAAACACTTTCCACATGCCGGCATTCTTCCCTATCTCACACGGACAGAGAGAGAAAACAGCGCAGTCTGCACAGCTGGAGAAAGACATGGACAGAAAGAAGAGAAAAGAGTTGTGGCAGGAGTGCTTTTCAACTCCAGTTTGTCTCTCTCTTTACGTCTGCCTAATAGGAGAGGAAGGGGACGGGGGAAAGAAATAGGCTAAAAGTAGTGATTTTCCAGTCTCTCCGCTGTGATTATTCCTCTCAAACACAGTTGGACTAGTAGTAAGTAGTCATTTAGCGAACGCTTTTGGCTGTTTTCACACTTGGCACGATCGATGAGCCAAAGCAGAGTTCAAATCCTGTTTCCGTATCACACTGGGAGATGATTGGCACAGAGCTCATTGTAACCGTATTTGAGTCTCACACAAACATACCAGGTTGTCCAGCATTCTCATGAGCGACTCGAACTCCAGCTCTCCCAACCTCCACTTGTGCGGGGAGCCGTAGTTGACCCCGGCTTCTGCCACCCCCTGTGTACGAGGTTTAAACTTCTCCAGATCCAACAAGATCAGGTTCTCCACTCCTCCAGCGCATGAGAACGCATTGACCTAGAGAGACAGAACCACGTCAGACATCTACGGCACAAAAGGCCAGTTTTGGATCATTTTGCAGTAATGAAGCAGAGTTTAACATTTAGCTTGCTTAAAGTCCCTGTAAAGACAATTCTAAAAAAAAAAATCTAAACCCATTATAAATGTAAGAAATGTATTGCTAAAACATATTACAAAGACTGTGAACTGTGAAATACTGAATTGTGGAGTTAGATCGTTAAACAGTTTTTCACCATTGCTATTTTCCGGATTTTTTGGGCGGGGCTAAAACGGGGCTCGATGACGCACTGGAGCCCCTGAGCTCCTGGACACGCCCCTACTTGATGACGCACTAAAGCCGCTGAGGCTGGCCCCTCCCCTAACAATATAGAGCACATTCACATCAGTTCACTGCTCAATCGCGAGTTACTGTCAGAACTAATAGTCTCTGGTACTATTAGTTACTACTAGGGGTGTGCAAAAAAATCGATTCACATTTGAATCGCGATTCAATCTTTACCGATTCAGAATCGATTCATAGAATTCCAAAAATCGATTCTTTTTTTAAATTTTTTTTTATGGCGTGCACGGGTGGAGTGGCAATCGGGTGAGTCGGGACTTTTACCGGTGGTCCGGTAGTGTTTCGAGGCTGCGAGGGCCGGTCTGATAAATAGTTATACATTGCAAGTTCTTGCCGCCCGCTGGACAAACTGTGCAGCCTCTCTGCTCAACCCGTAAATAAATGCATCGATCCGCAGATCTTATGTTTGAGTTCTGTAGATCTGTTGCCAAGCGTGTCAGAGGTTACGGGTTCTAAAACCGCACTCGTATAGTGTTTTCTCTCTCTCATCAAAACCGAATATGTTCATCACGTTTGTGAGCATTTTATTTTGTGATTTTACCTGAGTCTCCACAACGGCGATAGATTGAAGCGCGCGTCCGAGTGAAGACTGCGCGAGCCACAGAGAACACTGTATCCATGACACTGATAGCAGCGGACACGAGCGCCCAGCTTGATTTCAAAAACAACAGATCTCTTATTTAATAGCGAACTAAATTAATGCTCTGCTAGTTAACTGGAGATACCCGCAAATTACGCCTATGAACGACTTCACTGGATCTAAACAAATCAATCTAACCATAGATGTTACCAGTAGCGGTGGCTTTTTTTTAATCTATTTAAAATAATTTCGCAAGGGTTCTATCGACATTAGTATATATTTTTAGGAAGTTCAATGTGCCCAGTCGAGTTCACATTTCAACAGTCAACCTGCAGCTGAAGTAGTCCTTAAACCACATTTAGCATAATTGTTTGTTTGATCTGACTACAGCACTTTAAAGCTAAATGTAAAAGCTTCTGTTTAAGTTTTATTTTAAACTTGAATTAAATGTAAGCTGGCCAAACCTTGGCACTTTGCACTTTTTAGTTGCAGAAGTTTTTATTTTTGTATGAAGTCATATAAAGTAATATCAAACTACATTTAATTTGCTGTTTTTTTTCTTTTAAATTGTGTCTACTGCAATCAATCACAGGAAAAAGTAAACTACATTTATATACTGCGAATCGTTTTTGAATCGAAAATCGATTTTGAATCGAATCTTGAGACAAAAAATCGGTTTCGAATCGAATCGTGACATTTTCTGAATCGTGCACCCCTAGTTACTACAGCCTACAGTTTGCTAGCTAGCTATGCCTTCGACACGGAAATGCGTAGGCTACTACCTGGATGCGATCATGTACAAAACAGATCGGTGTCTTTATTTAAATTTCCTAAAAACGATCACATCAAGAAGAGGTGGATTAATTTTGTGAAGAGCCAACCTTGATGGAGAGCTAAGGATCACCGCCAACACCCGCCTCTGTAGTAATCATTTTACACGGATAGTTTTATAAACTTTCGTCTGAGACAACTGGGATTCACTGATGAGCCGCTGTTACTGGTGAATGGGGCCGAACCGACTATCTCCCGCCTCGGGCTTCATCTCCCCGTCCTGAAAGCAGTATCAGCTAATATCAGCGTCGGCTGCTTTCCCGCGAGTGGGCGTGGTTTCAGCGCAGCCAGCGGACACGCCTTCAGCGTTTGAGAGCAGAGACTACTGCTCATTTTTTCAAGATTTTGATAGCTTATTTTATGTACTTGCCGGCTTTTTTTATTATTCAAATTTGGCTGGGTGGCTAATAACACATTTTTCTGTGGTGTGACAACCTCAGAACACACACTTAATTTAGACTTTACAGGGACTTTAAAGGGTGAAAACAAAAAAGTTATCCCATAATTTACTCGCACTCAAACTATCCTAGTTGTATGTGACTTTCTTCTTTCAGCCAAACCCAATCGTAGTTATATTAAAAAATATCCTGGCTCTTCCAAGCTTTATAATGGGAGTGAATGGTAACTTGGATTTTGAAGCCCAAAAAAGCGCATCCATCCATCATAAAATAAATCCAAACAGCTGTGAAGTGATGGGTTTTTGTTTTTTGAACCGCAGCTACCAAAATTTGGTCAAAGAGCTCCTGACATTCTGTTAGCCATGTGTATGTTATAAAAACATCGCCCAAAACCATTTTAGAAATGCATTACCCAGCATTATGAGCATTTTACCTGAATTTCACAGGCAAACTGAGCGCTGTAAATGTAGTGAAAGGCCTCTTCAATGGTCTCCCCGAGAGCTACAACTCCATGATTCCTTAAAACCAACACCTGCAACACACACACACAGATCTGAGAAAAATATCTTGCACATTTACAAACATACTGCATTTTTCGCTTTCATACTCACTTTCATCATACAACTGCTCATGAATTGTGGAGAGGTTGTTTACCTTCGTTGACGGTCCGAGGGCTTTCTGGAGCTCCAAGCGCTCATCTGGCTCATCTACACTGCCTTGGTAGTTGTAGTAGGCAATGTCACCAAGGATCAGAGACTCCTGAGAGATGGGCAGCAGGCCGCACTTCATAGACGACACCTGACATAACAGAAGAGATTCATGCAAGTCATGGCGATTTAAAATAAACAGTCATCCTTTCTTTGAAATAAACTAGGGCTGTCAGTTAAACGCTTTATTAACGGCGTTAACGAAAACCCATTTTATCGGCGTGAATTTTTTTATCGCGCGATTAACGGCCTTTTTGGCCTAGCAAACTTTGTAGTTTTTTTCACATGCTTTTGCAACAGGATGTGGCATGCGCGGCGCTGCGCTATGAAACCCATTCATTTCAATGGCTTGCGCCGCGCGAGGACGTTTTGTTGCTTCGTCGACCAAAGCGCAAGCGGATCTAGCTAGACCGGAAACAAAACAACAGGCACGACGCACACACTTGTTTGGGCTTGCGATCCGGCCAAATAGTTGGTTAACGTTACGTTTTGAGTGGATGGCGAGCGCGAGACGCCGAAATGGATGCCAATAAGATTCAGAATTAAAAGTTTACTTTTAAAAAGTTGCCAAATGGTTCCATTGACGAGACCAAAGTGATCTGTGTGTTTTGTCGTTATGAACTGAGCTATCATCATCGCAGCACGTCCAGTCTTAAACACCACTTGATGATGCCCAAGCACACACACACACACAGCTGATGCGAATTCTCCGCCCCCTCGTCAATATCAGGACCTCGTCAGTATTTCTTTCACCCTTTTATTGATGGACAGTGTTACATTGTGTGAGAGAGATTATTTGCTCCAAGTGAGAATGTTAGTGTGAATTTGAACACAGTATACGCCAATGTTGTTTTCAATAAAAAAACATTTGCACAAAGCAAGCCGATCCACTTTTCCATTTTGATAAGAGCATTAAAATGAGAAAAAAAGAATGGGACAAAAAGAAATCAAGAGACATTTAGAATAGATCAAAATGTGTGATTAATCACAAGTTAACTATGACATTAATGCGATTAAATATTTTAATCGTTTGACAGCACTAAAATAAAAGTTTTTTGTTGTGATAGTGCATGTGAAGCGGGTGTAACTGGGCGGACACTTACAGCAGCAGTGGCCGGTGTGCGTATGTGAATGATGCAGCGCACGTCGGGTCTCATGGAGTAGATGGCAGCGTGAGGGCTGAAGCCGGCCGGGTCGATCTGCAGGTTGGTGGAGCCCTGATCGATCACGTCACCGAGAATGTTCACCTTTACCTGCAGAACCAAAGAAACACATAATGTGGAATATAATGTAGTTTATGATCACCTAAAACAAACAGCGGTGAGGCTAAAAAATTATATTAGAGCAGAGACAGCATCTGATTACTCCTATCTGAGTGCTTATTAATAAACAAACCAGAAGTATCAATACACAGACTATAGGTCTTTATTCCCTTCTCTACAGTGTCCAACACATTCCCTCATTTCCTATTAATCCAGACATCATACGCCTAATCAGGAAGGAACTGTCTTCGAAAGATAAACTGAGAACCAGTGGATGATTCGGTTAATGTTTTTAATAAGCCTCTATTGCCTGGTAACCTCGATAGAGGATGACCATTAAGCTTTACATTTACACGACTGTTCAAAAGTTTGGGGTTGGTAAGATTTTTTCTTTCTTTTTTTTTTAAAGAAATTGATACTTTTATTCAGCACGGGTGCATCTAAACAGATCAAACCAGGAAAGGCATTTATAATTTTACAAAAGATTTCTATATCAAATAAATGCTTTTTTTTACTTTCTATTCATCAAACCTGAATGGTTTCTAAGCAGCACAACTGTTTTTTTAACATTTACAATAATAATAAATGTTTCTTGAGCATCAAACCATCATATTAGACTGATTTCTGAAGGATCATGTGACACTGAAGACTGGAGTAATGATGCTGAAAATTCAGCTTTGATCACAGGAATAAATTACATTTTCAAATATATTCAAATAGAAAACAGTTATTTTAAATTGTAATAATATAATAATATTTAACATTACTGTTTTTACTGTATATATATATGATCAAATAAATGCAGCCTTGGTGAACGTAAGAGACTTTCAAAAACATTTAAAAAAAATCTCACCAACCTCAAACATTTCAATGGTAGAGTATCTATGAATGATTTATCAATCATTGGTTGTGCGTGTTGTTTTTGTCATGGGAAGTGAAAGACGAAGCTTGTGCGTGTCTGATTCCTCTAGAGCTCTGATTAAATATTGAATTGCATCACATGCTGGTCCTGTAACAAGCCTCCCAACATGCCCTTCACATGCCTGCCGATGCCGCACCCCATATCACTACCAGCTAAAATTAACACACAGTACCCCTGTTCTGCTAATGAGCTCTGAGTGACGTCCAACCTCATGCAGATCGTGTTTACACACGGCCACTAATATCACATGACAGTTTTGACATCCATCTCATGCTATTCTTTCTTCATCGGTTACATATTGACTATTAAACTGGCCACAGGAAGTTGGTTCTCTTCTATAAAGACATATCTGCTGTATTATGCCACCACACTAATGCTAATGGACTGAAACAAGACCTAACAGTTCTCTCAAGAGGAGTCAGAAAACTGCCAAAATCTCTCGTCCGATTTGAAGAGACTTGCAGCTCAGAGTAGGTCTTCATTTATTAAGCAATAAATGGTAAGAGCAAATGCTTTAATCAGTATTCATCATTACGAATTGATTTTTGTGGAGTGAAATACATCTACCAGTGCAATTACCGGGCATAAAAAGGAAAAAAACTAAAGTTACAAGTTACAATTTCCTGTTACACGAACATTTGGAACGGTTCACAGCAGTTGCTTCATAGACATGAAATCTCATGCCACATTATGTAACAGTAAAAGCTTGCTTTAGCAAAACACTAATCAACATTGTGGTTAGGAATTTGAACACACTCCTTTAGGTGGGTGACATTTATCATTTCGTGGACGAAATCCATGCTGAAATGCTTGAGCGCGATTGATTTCCCCATGCAGATTTCGCAAAGGGTTAAAGTTGGATTTTCTGCATTGACCAACAGAAAGTGACTTGTGTGAGCTGTGCTTCATAGATCAGTAGACCAGTGGTTTTCAAACTTTTTCAAGAGGGACCCTTTTTTTCTTCTTTTTTTTTTACGCGACCCATAGGCTTGTGCGCAGAATTTTTTTTCTTTAACCTTTCTTTAAGCACTTTTTTTAACCACTTTACTTTTGAGGATGCACGTGCACTTGCTGATCATTGACGCGATTGCAACGCAAAGTCGATTCTGAAATAATTTGATCAAGCTATAGGCCTACATACAGGACTTTTAACCAATAAATAGCTTATCGTTTGCTGAATGCTTAAAAAATACAAATACACAAAACATATTCCACAACAAACTCTTTAAATGTAATATTCATTATATACAGAACAGAACAAGAATAAAAAAAAAAACTAAACAAGCCAAAACGAAATAATTTAAAGGGAAAGTAAAAGGGGCATTATCTCACGTAGCCTAACTCTCTCATTAGAATCAAAATATTTTAACGTTCGCGATGTATTTGATGGTAAACTATTCTTTATTATAGGCGTTGTAGCAACTTCACTCACGTTGCAATATCGACAGGAAAAAAAATCATCCTTTTCACATGCGCAAAAATGTGCTTGGAAACATCACGAGCGGTGCTTACGCTGAATGGTACGAATTGACTATTTAAACAGAGCAGTGTGATTTTTATATTAGGTTGACTATTTTATTATCATATTTTTATTTCGGCTATAATGAACAGGCTGCGATGTCAAGCCTGGAATGGTGTATTTGTGTGTGTGTGTGTGTGTGTGTGTGTGTGTGAGAGAGAGAGGTGCGGCACTGGAAACAAAAAATATACTCCGTCGTTCATACAGGACATCATTCAAACTGCAAAGTGTTTATTTATACTTGTGTAGGCCTACACTCGACACAACATTGTTAAAACACAACATTGTGGTTTTGTCAAACTGTAAGCTCTTGTCAAACTTAACTGTCACCCAACCAAAATCACACACAGTTTAAAAGCAAACTTATTTATAATTCAAATGAGAATAGGGCTGTCAACGAATATTCTAAATTCGAATAGGCCTATATATTCGAATAGTTTTAAAAACACAGAATTTCGAATGTGAAAATTTATATTTGAATGTGGAAAAACACGCCCGCGGTATCAGAGGCGCGGCTGTCTGCTTTGCGAGTGGGCGCTGAGGGATCAGGGACAGGTCACAAGAGTCGCACTGGCACAGCTGAAAGTTTTTTTATTTCTTATTCTTATTTATTGCATGAATAAGGTAGGTTAGATACAGCAGTTCCATGCATCGCAGGCTTCACTGGTTTGATTATTTACCGTTTCATGTCAAGGAAAAGTTCCATGTTTACCACAGCACAGCTCGCTCGGGGCGTTCAATGTCGGTTCTTTAAAACTTCAATTAATGTTAATAATATTTGTTTCAATCACTGAATGAAGCCTGCTATATTTGGGACAAGAGTCGCGACCTTAAATTGCTTGCACAAAACTCTTGATCAGCACTCAACATTTGTTTATTGTTGTTGTTGTTCATTTAAACCGTTATGCGCAGAGAGCGTGAGGTGAGGGAGAGAGAGAGAGAGAAAGAGTGCCTAGCGAGAGTGAGGTCTGCGGTCTTGGCCATTAGTTGATTTAGGCTACTTGTTTTTGTGTAGGTAATACGTTGTCAAATATGTTTAAACTTAAATAAACTACCTAAACAAGTAGTTATGTCTCTTTGTATTAATTTGACCTGTTATTGACGTAATGCGCGTCATTGACAAAATGCACAACCAGATGTTCGAATAGTTCGAATATAGCCTATGTGTTTTTTTAGAGGGATTTTTTAGAACGTAATTTTTGAGTAGCCTAATTTTGACAGCCCTAGGAAGGAACGACGAGTGTTAGTGTGTTGTTGCCGATAGAGCGAACGTGTGTGTGTTGCGGGTGGAGCGAACGAGTGTGTGTTTTGTGTATATTAATGAGAAGGGCCTGCTTATTCTGCATAATCTGGTCCCAAGCCGGTTCGCAGGACGAGAGGGCAACACGCAGGAGAAGCATTCAGTTTGTTTCGTTGTTTCAAAGCTATTATTATTAATATTAATTTAATTAGAAAACGGAATTTTATTTTATTTTTTTAAATCACTGGCGACCCATTTTTTAATTCTCGCGACCCACCCGAGGGTCGCGACCCAGGGTTTGAAAACCACTGCAGTAGACTAATTAAAAATATATCATAGACCTTTTTAGAGCACAATAATTCACCAAAAATTCACTAACATAACCGCACCTTTACCCTAATTACTATTAAACTTTGGTATGTAAACCATCCTGGAGAGTCCGCGCTACTGACATTAACTCTTTCCCCACCATAGACGAGATTTTCCGTCATTTATGGCAACACTTCCCTGCCATTCAGAAGTGCGTATGGCGATCTGTGTTTTCACTGTTATATGATAGGGGGCTCTGTTACGCATCTTCTGAAATAGTACAGCATCTCCGGATCCAAAAACAAGTGAAGATGATGATCTGCGTAAATAGTTGTTTATCCACAAGTTAGCTAATGCAATCATCAAACCATCAACGGCACATAAATCAAAACTGTCTAACATTACCGTCTGGAATGTCGAAAACCACAGAGAGGTATGAGACTGTGCAAGCTCTGGGCGTGTTGATGGACTCAATCGCCGATTATTCATGTTTTGATAGTCATTCTGAATCCGATCAGGAAGTATTTGACAAAAACATGATTTTCTTTGAAAATGTTTGAGAATTTTTTTTGTTCAAAATGTTTTTTTAATGAAACTTTCAAGTGTTGATTAAAGAATGAATGAAGCTAGAATATTTTTTGTTGTTGTTTAAAAGCAGATGCTTTGTTCCTTTGATATATTGACTATTTACAAGTTTTGTGAACATGATCAAAAATGCTGGCACTGGCAGGCAACTTAAAAATGACCCCAAATAATGTTTTTTTGTTGAAATGAACTTCAAAGGATGGATCCAAGCCATATCTACAGATCAGAATATCATGAAGACTTGGCTCTTTTGACTACACACAACACCCTAGTCCCGAGTCATGACAGTTTTGCATGGGCATTCTCTTCTCATCATATTCTTCTCTGTTAAGGGGCTTAGAGCACTAATAAGCGTACAAGAGAGAGAGTGTGAAAGTGACTGATCACATAGAGGGTTAATAAAACTGTGACCCAGATTGCTGGCCTCATTCCAGCGGGCACAAACCCACAGCCACGCCCACAGAAGCGGAGAACAGGAGCTCTGGATGACGGTGTCAGCAACACTGAGATCTCTCTCTCTCTCACACACACACACAGATAATAAAAAATCCTGTATATCCGACTATGCAAAAGAGATCGGGCTTTATCTAACTCTCACTGTCTAAAACACACAGTCCACACAAACAGAAACTGGACAAACCTGTAATGGTTTTGGTCCATAAATAAAAGGTCAATGGCACCTATTAAAGCCTATTATACATAACCAAGAGTGCAAGAGCAGAGAAATCTGCCGCGATCCTGAAACGACACAATGACTGAGTGCATTTTTTCATGACTGTGGAAAAAATTTTTTTGTGTAACTCTACCCCAAACACAATCCAGCACAGTGCAGCATTAAAAACAGCATTAGCCAGCGCAAGAGTGCAAGTCAGACGCAGACACTGCCACTGCTCTCCTCAGGCGATTTCAATTCTGTTCACGGAGTCATAAATGCTGCAGACAGGACGACAAATGTGCTTAGCAAATTCATTCCAGCACTAAATCACCTGATTGGCAGGAATTTGTCAAAACAGCATCCACCACGAGCAGCATGTCAAAACTCATTACGTTCACGCCATAACCGTAATTACGAGATGGTAACCCGTTCTAGCTGGAGCTGTTCACATCCTCAGATTTGGATATATGTGTTTTTATGTCAACACTATCAACACAGAAATGAATCTGCAGCAGTCAGGTGGTACAAGTAAGAGCTCTGTAAGTAGTTTACATTCATTATTATTGTACTGTTATGTGCTTTGAGACATGGGGTAGTTTAACGTCTCTCATCTTGTGAGGCTTTGCAGATTCTGCTGTGTGTGTTCGTGTGTTTTGGTGTCTTTGGAGACGCTCTGAAGGGAGGGTGGGATCTCATGCTTTCAAAACTAGCTTGCTAGTGCTAGCCTCTCCGAAATTGCAGCAACTCTAGTTTTAAGTACAAAGACATTTAAATATGCCGACTTCTGGAGAGAAATAGCACAAACACTGGACAGGGAAGGAACTTTCTAGTGCCAAACTGGAGTATACTTAGGAAAATATCCTAAATGTTCAGTGCAGGGGTTTTGCAGGACCAGGAAAATAATAAGAATACACAATAATAAGCATGAACAACTACAGGCACTAAAAGCCTCCGACTAACATGAACACACAGGCTAGTACGGATCCAAAACCCACTCTGAGATTTCAAAGAAATAACCGGCTGATTAAGCGTGTCAAACATTGGCAACGATCAGAGAGCTCAGTCAAGGTCTGCCAACACACGTTCCCTCTGTGCACGGCACATTTCAGACTTAAATCCCAAATACAAAGAAAAACACATATCATTTCAACTATTATTAAGCTCTGGGCAATAATAATGTCTCAATAATTTAAACAGGCTGTTAAACCACTAAGAAAACGGAAATGCCAAAGCAGCATAAAATATAACCAATTTGATCAAAACTGAAGCATTAATGAATCATTTATCATGTCATCAACATAATATGTAACTGATAAATGAATCCCGAAGGTAAGAACGACAAAAAGCCTGTCGAATCTATTTTCATTCTCACTGGAATGTGAGTTTGAGCTAAAGTCGCTGCTCAAAGTGACCCTGTCAGCCCTGTGGGCGTGATGCTCAAGCCGTTCCCAGAACCGGTATCAGGCTCTGCTGTGATAATGCGAGACAGACAGTTTGTTTACCAGATTGGACGCAGAGGCCTCGGCGAAGGACAGCCCTCTGGGGATGATGAGGATGTGATCCTGCTCCTTACTGACACGAACCTACAAGGTAAAAAAACAAAAACAAATAAGCAGCTGGTTTTCTTCTCATGATCAAATTAGAACGAGGTTTTTTAATCCATCCAGTCATCCATATATTCATTTTTTTTTGGATATTTCCCCCTTTTAGCACATCAGCATGAGCAGAGATGCTGTAACTACAAAATTACGATGACAAACAGCATATTTCTCCATTGATGGCCATTCAAAAAGTAGCTGTGTATAATTTAATAATAATAATATAATAGTATAATATGACATTATTGGGGATTCAATGAATGGAAGGATTATAGACCTACTTGGCTCAATGAATTAAACAGTATCTGATAAGAGGAAATATAATGTTTATTGCCTGCAGGAATGGATTGCGAAACACTGGATAACACCACGCATGCCATTCACTTTCACTTCCTTGTTCTAAAATACTAACACAAAATCCACTATATTATTTAACCTTTGGTACCAATATTAATGATAGAAAGCTATGGCTTACTGTAATGTAACAGCTTGTGAAGTGGGCCCAGCTGAACAGGTCCACTATTCTGTAGAGGCTGGCCAGTTTGCAGCGGGTCTGTTTCTCTCCCTTCACCATAGTATTGGACTCCATGCTGAACATGTCGTTTATTGGGGTCACCATGCCCAAACCTGAGAAAACCGGGAACAATTCAAGAACTGGTCAAAAACAAAAAAACAAACAAATTGCTATGTGCTGCTTTCTCATTTGTTCGTGTTAACAGTTTTAAACCATTTAATAAGATAAGACTTCAATTTAAAAAGCATTTAAAAGTATCAAGATGTTTATTAGATATTAATGAGTGATGCCACCTGAGCGCACAACTTGAAATTGACATTTTAGTACTGCTCTCGTGGGAATAATATGGGCAACGAAGTGGTGTGTAAATCGATACCCTGATACTGATCAAACTCAGGCTCTAAATAAAGCCAGTGGTGTGTCCTGATTAACTGATAACACCTCAGAAGTGTCCATGAAACACTGATACGGCTGAAATCTAATAAAGACGTTTTAGTTGGATTGAATTTATACAGCTAATAACATTCCTGAAATCAATTTGCCATCAATTTGCAATTTCGCCAACCTTTAGGGATTCGGGTCAAAGAAGAATAGTAAATAGTAATAGAAAAGGAAATATATATTTTTTTATAAATTCAGCCATACAATAAACACGGTTAAGCTCTTCACATCTACAATAATCACATTTTATATAAAGCACAGACAAAGTATATTAGAGAACTCCACTTGGCTAAATGTTCCAGAACTCATCCTTGAACTAAACAGACGTCTATCCAGAACTCCACTTTACTAAAAAATACTGGGCTACGTTTCCCAAAAGCATTTTGATTTTATTGTAATAAACACTGGTGGCAATAGTCTCCACACTCTTGGGGACTTGGGCTCATGATGCTTTTGGGAAACGCAGCACCGGATCTCATTCTAGAGCTCCGGTTGACAACACATTTCAGAAGTCTAAATGTTCGAGAACTCTTTCCAGAACTCCAGTTGACTGAATTTTCCAGAACTCCAGTTGACTGAATATTCCAGAACTCCAGTTGACTGAATATTCCAGAACTCCAGTTGACTGAATATTCCAGAACTCCAGTTGACTGAATATTCCAGAACTCCAGTTGACTGAATATTCCAGAACTCCAGTTGACTGAATATTCCAGAACTCCAGTTGACTGAATATTCCAGAACTCCAGTTGACTGAATATTCCAGAACTCCAGTTGACTGAATATTCCAGAACTCCAGTTGACTGAATATTCCAGAACTCCAGTTGACTGAATATTCCAGAACTCCAGTTGACTGAATATTCCAGAACTCCAGTTGACTGAATATTCCAGAACTCCAGTTGACTGAATATTCCAGAACCCCAGTTGACTGAATATTCCAGAACTCTATGGAACTCCAGCTGGATAAATCTGGAGCTTGGTGTAGTGTAAGATTGAGAATTGCTTTCAAAATCTACATTGAATAGACTTCATATATCTGTGCAAATGTGGGCAGTCATAAATAAACTGGGTAAACTGGAAAGGGAGCTTTGCATTTTGAACTATGTATACATTAAATTCTTATTTCTAAATATCAGACCCAGTTATCCGTGATATGCTCTAGACCTATGGATGGTCTACAGACACCTATGAGGTTTAGGCTCTGAATGTACAGTAAGTACTGAAAGGGGTTCACTGAAGTTCCACTGATTAGTTCCGCATAGCAGAGCACAGAGAGAAAACAGACACATGTGTGGAGAGCTGGATGGGCTGATAAGGCAGGAAGTAGTGAGATAAAAGAATGCAAACTCTTTCTTGACTTGGCTGGTCGTATTTCCTCCTTCAACGTTTGTTTATGGAAACAGCTATTATTAAGCGACCTGTATGCTAAAAAAAACCTCTTGTGCTTTTAACCTTTTGAAACTGCATGTGTGCATTTTTTACGTACAGCACTTTTGGTCAACCGAGGTTGTTTTTAAATGTGCTTCATAAATAAATGGCAAATGAAAATTGGAATTGAACTGTGTAACTCTGAACAGGTGGAGGAGTCTCTGATGCAATCTGTTGCAGTGGAGATGAGCCGCACCACGGCGATACTCACTGAGGGGGGAGGTGGAGAAACCGGCTAAGGAGCTGGTCATGAAGAAGTCTGCGATCTGCCGCAGAGCGAGCAGTCCTGCTGGGTTATTCCCCTTGTTCATCTGTTCCTGGATCATTCCCTCCAGCTCATCTTTAAATGCCTGAAAGAGAAAGCAAGCATGAGATTAGAGATGTCTCACACACAGTAATGAGAGATGAACACAAAGCTTTAATCCTCTCACGCTTTAACCTTCACGTACAGTTTTTCCCACTTGTACCGCTACACCTAGTTAAGTATATTAACCTAGAGGCCTACTCCACTCACTCTGAAGAGCTAGAGGAGACCAAACAGGAGGAGATCTGATGTTCTCTACAGACAAAAACAGTGAAGACAGTGAAGGATGAAAGTAACATCTCTTGTAGTAACATTTGTCTTAAAGACTTGGTTATATCCAAAATCCCTCAAGTCCATAGGAACCTTGAAAATGTACTTTCAATGTTTAAAGGAGGAAATCATTCAGTGTTTCCCCTACCATTTTGCCTCAGGTGTGTTTTGCTTTTTATGTTTTTAATTAATTTATGAAGCCACTTTAAACTTACATATTGTTATATTTTAATGCTATCCTATTTTGTGCTGGCAATTAGCTAACTTCGTTGTAAATAGAAAATCCCGACAATATCACTGCTAAATACCTATAAATATTGTGACCCTAACCCACCACATATCCGTAACACGCCCGCTCTGCGACACTAGTAGTTTTGGGGGATCTACCCCCCCCCCCCCCTGAGAAAGATCCTAAGGGAAACACTGATTCATAACTGGTTTTTAAAACCAGTGATAAAGCTCTTCTGTAAAATGTGCTGTCATCCTGCACACCTGTTCGGATCAAAGAGTTCAGACTAAAGAATGAATCGCAGACATTGGTAGAGTGCTCACATGCTGCGGGTAATAACAGAGGAGATTCATTGACACAACACCTCAGTTATGATGACTTCATTCTTACTGTACAAGTGCACAAAGACTTGTCTTATTACCAGGTGTGAGTAAGTGTCTGGATGTGAGCTGATGCATGCAAAACTTCCTTCAGCACAGTGTGCGAGAATGTCACGCTGATATGTCCTAAGCAGGCAGAATACATGCAAACACTATGCAAAAACACATGTATAAACCAGAATCAGAAAGGTAAACAAGTCTAAGCAGACATGCTCTGTTCACTGATTGCCTGATGGATTTTGCACACAAAATGGTGAGCAGTGGTTAAAAACCAGCTGTTTTAATCTGTCTGACTAGCTTTATGCAAATTGCATGTACTGGGATAAATAATGGCTTTTTAAAGTTGTGTTATATAGTAATAATAAGCAATAAGCAACAATCACTAGATTTGCCAAAGTTTCAGAGGTCATTGACATCAAATCTTTGAGAGACACTCAGCGTTTAGTTAACGGTTAACTGGATATCTACAAGGAGAAATGTTCTGCTTTGTGCTTGTGTGTAAACTAATCAGTACTTATTACTAATCTAGGGTGAAACAAACTACACAGGAATCAAATTACATTGGCCTTTATGTTTGTTTGGTTTTGAACGAGAGCCTAATCCATCAATCATACACTGAGAAAACAAAGGGAAAGTAAGAAGCCACAAATGCATGCCCTTAATACACACATAATAGCCCCAAACTACGGTTATGGGTTTGTTAAAATTTTTAACTGTTAAAGGTGTGGTCACATTTGCTGTTATTATGAGACTTTTTGTGGGCAAAATCCAGTCATTTTAATAGGAATCTATCTATGAAATTGGGAAAATAGCGTGAAGGTGAAAAATTTCCCCATAAAGATTTCGCAACGCATTCAAGTGGGTAATGCGAATTCGCCGTGTTTAACAGAAGAAAGCTTCTTGGTTTGAATGTTACTTTTGTGTAAGTTCTACTACATAAATCACTTACTATTGACAAAAGACAATGGATGTTTTTTTGCTTGGAAAATTTAGCTAATTTTGCTAATGTGACCGCACTTTAAGTATGAGCAATAGTAATAGTGATGCTTGTCTACTACACTAAATAGGTGCGAACAAGCACACAAGCAATCTGGGATCAGTTTTGCTGTGTTTAGGTTTCATTCAGCAAAGTACTTTAGAGGTGAATCATGATGAACGATTAACTGTGGGAATCATCAAACTAGGGCTGAAACGATTCATCGATTTACTCGATTACAAAAATGCCTCGAGGCAAAAACTCTGCCTCGAAGCCTCGTTAAATTCCTATGACGAGCACTATACGCGCAGGGATCTATACTATAGCGCGTGATACAATTAGGGGTGTGACGGTTATTATATAACCGTGAGACCGACGGTTATAGTTGAACACCGTCATTAGAACTCTATAACCGCCAAAACCGTGCTATTAAAATATTTTTTACAAAAAAAATTTATCATAGAGAATGTTTAAATACTAATATCAGCTTAAGAGGGAAACGGAGGCTGCTACTGCTGGAGATGATTCGGGAGAGGTCTGTGCACCTTCACCGATCAGAGCGCGCGCTGACACGGAGTAAAGCCTTGTTTATACTCGACGCGTCCGCACGATCGCGAAGGTGCGCGCGGCAAAAATGACGCGTTCGGTGCGCAAGACCGGCAAGACCCCATTTGGCTTGGCTGTGTGTTTATATCTATGGGCTGTGTGCACGGCTTTTTTTTGTAACAGCGCGCGCGGCGCCGCGTCCGAATCATAGACTTCAAGCCGAATCTGCCCGAGCATGCACGTCTCACCGCACCGGCACGCAGTTTGCGCGTCTAAATTGCAAAGTTCATTCCAAAGTTTTTTCGTTAAGGTTTTGTTACTGTGTGTGACTTAATAAAAAAAAAGCACGTTCATTGCAACGTTTGTTTGTTTTGTTAGTTAAGGATTTGTTTACTGTGTGATACATTTAATGGAAAGCACATTCACTTCTAATTGTCTTGCTGATCATGTTAAATAAACGTAGAGCCAGTAGCTAATCAGTGTCTGCTTGTTTATTCAAACTAAGTTGTCCTATAACAGACGAACAGTTATTCAACCCCCCACCCCCCCCGACGACGGTTATGTTATGAACCGTCACATTTGACTCACGTCATAACCGTCATCACCAATTCTGAAACCGGCACACCCCTAGATACAATTTGAATTTAGTTGGCGCGATGGCGGGGAGTAAAGATGTCCATAAACGGCAGAGAATGTCTAAAGTTTGGGATCATTACATACTTAAAAAGGAAGAGAACAAGGTGCAATGTGTCTACTGCAAAGTAGACCTGGAATACCACAACAGTACGACTTCAACGATTCAGCATCTGAACCGAAAACATCCACTCCATGCTGTCTCACCAAGCGTCGCTGAAACAAGGTAACCATGGTGTGTTCACACTAGGGCTGCAACAAACGATTATTTTGATAATCGATTAATCTAACGATTATTAGAACGATTAATCGACTAATCATCGATTATTTCGCAGACTAATCAGTAAGTTTGGAACGATTATTCAGCTTTTCCAATTAGTTAAAACATTGAGTTATACATATTCTAACTATAGTATAAAAAAAGAAAATCACTTCAGCTTTTGAAATAGTTGTTTTAATGAACTTTGAGCCAACTAAACAGGTCATTCTCTTTAAGTTTTCAGATTTCGGTCCAACTCAAATCACACACAAATGCTCTCTAAGCATTGTTTAATAGGCCCACTGCTTTTCTTAGAACTGAAACAGAAAAAGGGACATTTACTTCAGGACACAAAGAATGGTAAAATATTAATCTGCAAACAATTTTTTATAATTATAAAATTACAATCTTTTTTTACATGACAATTGAGCTGACAGAGACGTTCTCATTCACCTTTTAATTTATAGTATGATAAAGTAACTGCCATGATATTCTTCCTATATCATAGGAAGGATATAACATCTCGTTTTGTAAGTATTCATGATTATTGAACAAAATACAGGCAAGTGATAAGACTAGCCTATAATAATACCTAATATACTAATAGTGTTACAATAATCAAAACAGCCCTGACTCCTAAGCTCGATCAAGCTTTATTCTATACAAAATAAGTCATCACATTACTGTAATTATATTACTATTGATAATATTATTACTATTATTAGTAGTATTGCATTCTCTAATAAAGAGAGATTTGCCGCTGGTTAGTAAGCTCCAGCTGGAGAACACTCACTTCTCACCGGCTCCTCTTTTGCCGGGATGTTTCCTCTTGTACTCCAACATGCATGTTGTGCTCCCGTGAAAATTGCACACGACAGCATTCTTGATTTGAAGTTTTGTGAAACTTTCCCAAACCTAAACCTTGCTAGTTCGGATTCGTTTGCACTGTCATAATTCGCGCTGTTTTCTCTTCTACCGCAATAGCATTTGTAAGGGCTGCACTACACTCTAGCGCTACAGCGCCGTAGCGGTCAAATCGCGGGATTGCAGGCCCTTACATTAGGTCACGTGAGATCAAACGACTACTCGACAACAAAGATATTTGTCGACATATTTTTATTGTCGACGTTGTCGACAACGTCGACTAATCGTTGCAGCCCTAGTTCACACGAACGCGAATAGAGCGTCAAATACGCGTCTATCACGTCTAGTTAGACGCTTGAACATTCGCTTGAGTTCAAATTTTTCAACTTGCGCGGAAGACGTTCGCGGCAAACGAGTCTCCCAATTCGCGTCATTCGCGACGCCCGGGACGAATGATGCGTCTATTCGCGTCTTTGCATTGACTTTGTATGTAATACACTCGCGCAAATAATTAAATTTGCGTTCGGTTCACACACACACACGCATGCACCCTCGTCTCTCTCACGCGCCAGTCAGATCAATTGCGGCAATGCATCACATATGCTTAAACTTTTATGTAGCCACGCAACAATAATTTCAGCATGCATTCACTGTATACACCGCGACGTGATGGAGGAACAAATATTGTATTGCAGTCTTTGCGAGACCTTGTTTGTATGTCACGTCTTCCAAATAGTTACAGACAACAAAAATGAAATTCCCCAGCCTGCTTCTCCAAATCCACTCATACTTTTGGGGAAGACATTTTAATCGGCTACCAAAGTAATTGAGCATAGAACATTGTTGGCACTTATACTAAATGGGTAAAAATTGCAATAAATAGGCTTAG